CTTTTCTTGCTATCCGTACCGCCAGACGGCAATGTAGACTACGACGTTTTCATGAAAGGCAGAATCTATTAGAATATACACGCGATGATGCAATTTACGAGAGGTTGCGCCTAGCTGTGACAAAAAGAGCGGCTAAAAGGTGGTGGAGATCCTTTACGACGACCTCAAAGCAGACGGTCTTATGCATTTCCAGCCGCCGGAAATTGGAGAGTTAGTGCTTTCGCGACACTTTTACGCAAGAGTTCCACTTCCGGTAGACTGTTTCGAGACTACGGTGAGTAACGAGAGAACTAACGACCGAACTTTACGACTGAACTTAGCGATGAGTTAACTACTGCTTCGTGAAACACCCCTCGAAAATCGCTAAGTTTGCTCGTTAGCGAGGTAGTTCAGTAGTTAGTTGTTCTAACTAACTACTGCTTTGTGAAACCGGCCCCTGGTTCGATTCAGCAGCATGTATAAGAAAAATCAGATATTAAGGCCACTAAAAGCACATTAAGCAGCACCATGTAAGGATGTGCACATCCAGGCACAATTGTTGATTGTGTCCGTTGCTTTGAATTCTGGAGTTCCAAAGAACTGTAGGTGTCAAATATCCCGAGACCCCCCCCCCTCCCACACACACACACACACACACTTACAGTTCTTATAGTTTTTTTTATTTTTTAATTTTTAGTTTCTTTTATTAATTAATTAATTAATTTGAAATCATTTTGAATTGATAAAATATTTCACCTACTTGAACAGCACCGTCACTGTATCTATGGATAAAAACCAATTTGAAATCCACTGAAATCTCAAGAAGTGTTTAAAGAACGAATAAAAGGGATCTTCAGCACCATTTATCCGAATGGATTAAGAATTAATTAATAAAGAACAGAATGAAGGAAAAAGAAAAAAATAGACGCAGCTATTCCTATGAATTAAGATATTCAGGCTATCATGTTAAGTATAAGACTGACCAAGGATTGACTTATACCAATTAAAGCACGATCTATTTCAATCTATTTCAATCAATCAGTGCACTTGAACTGAGCTCCTCTCGAGTCTCCTTTAAAATATTTGGATTTTCCCCAAACATCGTCTGGATTACTGTCCCGTTAGTAATGGTAACCTTGGTGATGATGGATTACGGCTTTTCAACGCACAGCACATACCGCTAACGTGGCACAGCCCTTGAACACGTTTAAATCATTTGACGGTTATTTTGACATTCAAAAAGATTCTTCCTGTTAGTGCGTGTCACGGATCAGAACTCCAGCACTACATCCAGGACATAATTCTAAGGCAGTAACCTTATGTTACTTGATTGAATTATTGCAGCTGGTCTTTCTGGTGAAGTTATCTGTCGAGATAGTTTTACCGCTTTGACTCGATAAACCCTATTTTTAAGCACGAAATTAGCCCCTAATATGTATTTTTTCTCTAAATTCTTCCATGACATTGCACAGAAGAAGGTGAAAGGCCTTTTGAAGCAGATTGGCATAGACGTAATTATCCTTAGACAACTTTAACATGAATCGAACATAAACATCCAGTGTAGTTGCGTAACTGCAATTACTTCAGCAAGAAAAATGTCATCCATTTCTTATCCCACGCGCACATCCATTCTTATTAAAACTTCTCTCCAAACTTTAATTGACAGACCATACAGCAATTATAAAGGCTAAAATCCTATCTATAACTTACAGGTCACTGTCTTAATAACAAATCATACATAAGCACCCGCGAAATCTCTAATATTAGCACGTCAGTATGCTCTGAGATATGAAAGTAGCAGACGATTAGGAAGCACATATAGTCATTAATTACTGTAGTCCAAATAAAACAATGACAATGATAATATGTGTCTTTGACATGCAGTATGACCTTCAAATCCTTTTATCTAAAAAAATCCTGCAGGTTCATCACCATCGCCCGTCTTATCCCTTCCCTCTCTCCCCGCTCCGGAATCTGCCGCTCTTGGCTTAGAGCAGCAATGTGACGTCATCTCTGGCATTTCTGATCTGAAGCATCTCCAGGAATGCCAGACCAGCGCCTCCGAGAGCCCAGCCTCTCAGAACAGCACAGAGGAGGGAGAGCAACACCGAAGAGAGGGGGAACAGCCTCCTCCTAAAGACAATCTACCTAAGAAATCAGGTAACTTTTACACATTGAACTTTCAATTCTATTCAAAACTTTGATATGGCACCAGAAAGTTGTCAGGTGTTTCGTGTTTTTTGGGCGATGTTTGATTTACCTACATTCCAACCCGTAGGATGTGGCAGCTGTTTTCAGGTAATAAGTCTTAAGGCAATGCTTTCCCAGATAGACGGACCATTCATTTTTTCTATCTCTCTCTATAGCTAGCTACTTAAGAAATATTCGATATTTTACCTGCTGAAAGCTGATTTGTTTCGCACTTAAGCTGATATTTACCAATTATTGTTTATTATTGGTGTAAAGGTCAACGGGGCTTTTATGTACTATTCCATTTGCAACGGAATTTTTCATTTATGCTGTTGACATGTTTTGCATCATTTTGCTTTCTGAAAAGTGGCAAACAGAGTTTAACCAAACGAAAAATTAAGTTTAAATTTCAATTACTGATATTTATGGTATGGAATACTTGTCATTTAGTGACATGCACTTTCTAGTGTGTTAAAACTGTTAAGTCTGTGCTGCAGTTAGAATATGGAATATACATTCGGCAAATCGTCCATTTATTGTTTCGAGGAAATGCTGTTTTGTGGGGTTTAATAATGAAGGTGCCAAATTATATAACTGTCTTTTAGAAAATCAAACCCTAAGTTCTTTTAGATTCCAAAGGACGTATATAAAACACAAGAGACTATGTGATTCAACACTTTAAGTATTTTCAACTGTTTAAGATTTCAGATGGTTACTTTATACAATAATCACCTGTAGATGATGGCAGAGAAAATGGAAAGTTATACACTGTTTCGTCCAGCAGTGATAACAGATTAATTTTGTTGATATATAACCCTTTCGCCCACGAAAACCTTATAGGAGCAACGGTGTTTTGGTGCGTTAGTCGCATAATTTAGGTCCCATATGTTTTCACAGGTAGTCTTCTGTTTTGCAATGTTTACAACGTGCTAGCCAGCTGCCTATTTAAACCAATTAAAAGAGAAGCAATCTATTTCAAGATATAGATGTGTTTATATGTGCTTGCAATGGCCCCAATTATTTGTGAAGGGATGGGACCACTGTATGAGTTTTAAAAAATAGTTCGTTCTTATGGCCATTTTTTTCCTCATTGTAGACAGGGCGGTTGGGGGGGGGGGGGGGGGCGAGAGTGATTGTTTTCTGCGTTGCAGATAACTGGCAATGTTCCAAATGGGTAAATTTACGAAAACGATCTAATCTGACGAAAAAGAAACCCTTGAAACTGACAGGAAAACTGAAACCCACTTGATAACTCAAACAACATTTTTTACCCATTATACACAGTGTTGTTACCAGTGCCTACCTGGAGGAGAAACTTTATTTTTACCTGAGTGTAGCTTCAAGTCTGTTTAAACCAATCAGCATGCAACCCACACAGAATTAGCCCCGTATGATACTTGATCTGGTCCATCTGCGGGAACTCTTCTCTTACTCAAGCAGCCTACGTAGATAGAGCAATATATTCGGCTGCTGGCACGATCTTGACTTTGGATGTTATATAGAAGTCATGGGGGAAGCATAGTCAGGCAGACAGGTCTAATTAGACGGCAGATTATTAGCGCGCCGCTTCCCCCGTCTTCCAAAGCCTGTAACAGTTTCTGCTTTCTGCTTTCTTTTAGCCCCGATATTCATCGTCAAAATGCCCGGTTCGAAGGAGGAGGTGCGACTTGGGGAAACAAAACGCTTCGAATGTCAGGTCGTCGGATTTCCCCGACCTGAGATCAGATGGTTTAAAGATGAAGTGGATATAACCGAAAACCCAAGATACAAATTCAATTTTCACGATGATGGAGTCATATCCCTGCTTATCGAGAACATATCTGCCAAAGATGAAGGAGCCTACAAGTGTCTTGCCAAGAACACTGAGGGAACGGCCTCCACAACGGCATATCTCTTGGTTAAAGGTAAGGAAAGAACATACACAAAGTTTTAAAAATATATTTCTGTTCTCAGCACTGCATTGTTAAATACAGAACTATTTTAATGATTCATGTTTAAGAGATAATTTTTATTTCCTTAAGACAGCTAATGAGTCTATACAAAGTTGGAAACTAAACAGCAGCTACACATATCTGAAAAAAATATGGGAAAAATGTATCGGTTTATATTTACAAAAGGTCTTTGAAATGAATATAGCAAGAGATGAGTGCCATTCTCTCATTTCTTGAACGCCTACAAACACCTGAAAAACATATTTCCTTCACCTGTATCAGCTACGGTATCTCGAAAATCTAAACGAGAGCACTCGACCAAATCCTACCTTCCAAAATCTCTTTAAAAAAAGCAGAAGCAGATAATAGACCATGTCTTGATCTTTTATTAATTATTACTGGTAAATTGTGCAAATGGTTTTAATGGTAATTTATTTATATTTCATATTTATGTTTTATCATGAAAACTACCAGATATATATTAAATGCCATAAATTTCATCTGGAGTCACAAGACCTGCGCATCATGCCCTAACATTTTTTCCTTTTTTCTTTCCTCTTCGGGTGTATTCATATCGTGCATCTTAAATGCCACTCTTTTGCGCACACTGTGCTTGAAATATCACATCGCAGTCCTCTCAAATTACCAAAGCTTGTTATGTTCCTCCTGTGTGGAGACGAACTAAAATCTCATGTTTATATTCTTTTAATCAACAAGGTTATCTTACAATAAAGCTGCACTATAGTGGCCGAATTTAATAAATCTCATTGCGCATCGAGTACTGAGGTATATGTCTTAACATATTAAATTATTTTTACGTGTTTGGATACTCCCCATATATATAATTGCAACCCAACGATTAAACACTGGTGGAGCCCTTAAACTCACCTGGGTTATTATAATAATAAAAGCGTCGGTGCTGTCAAAGCTGCTTTCTTTCAGGTACCTTGTTAGTCATATATCCTACAAGGGAAGTTCAAAGCTCAGATTTTGTGATGACTGCATCATTATGGGGATATGAATGACTGAAAATAGATGACATCAAATCACATCTCTGTTTTTCAAAACTGTCCCCGGGATGTATAACTATATTGTTTGCCATTTTATCACCAAGAGCATAACACTGCTTAGTATACGCGTATGCATGAAAGCATTCAATCTTAGTTTTCTGTCATATTCAAAACCCTGTGTTTTCGATTCGCAAATGCCGTTTGTGTGTTTTCAAAACAAAAAAGGCAAGATGCAAAATTTTTAATAAACGGTAAACAGTGCTAAAACCATATGTCATATAAAGGAACATGCATATTTTATTGTTTTAACATTATTTCATACCTTTGGAATTATAAAATCCAGCGTCAGAGGGTAAATGCTTTTGACGTGGATCATCAAGGCACGCTTACCACCTGCAACAGGAAGACACGGCGGTGGCCAGTGGTGCTCTTTTTCAACATGATTGATGTTGATGCAGTTACAGGCTTCGTCATTTGGCCATGGAACTCAATGATATAAAGGGTCTTAGTAAAGAGAAAATGTGATTTAAAAATATTAGCAAATAGATATTAGAATAGCTTATTGATCAACCCAATATTTTTATTCTGATAACAACTAAATATCCAGATACATGTAGAACATTTCTCTAAATTGCGGCTCAGTGTACAAAGCATACTAGTAATAGTTTCTACTGCACAAAATGCCATACCCTACTAATTGGAGGATGCCTTCAGAGATTTCAGTGGCCTCTTTCCAAATAATCAGCGCTGAACTTTCCTAGCTGTGGAGGGGATTTGACTGAAAAACAGCCACAAAAATAGGTCCCATAATGCAATGAAAATAAACACACTAAAACATACGTCTTCCAGAAAGTGATAGGTTCAAATATATATATATACATTTATTTTCGCAAGATATTGCTTAGTGATCGGCACTTCTCTGCAAACGCCATACACTGAAATGATATTCTATTTATGAGTGAAAATTGCCTTGAGGTTTTTTCCTATCAGTTCTGATTTATCTAAAAAGATTGCCAAGCAGTGGGACTTATCAGTATAACTGAATTATGTTATGGTATAAAACCCCATTGCGTTGAACATGTGCGCCTTTCCTATATCCTAGAAAGTTGCATAAATCTGGTTATTACACTGTACTGTCAATTCACGGAAACACAGCGGCCTGAAGAAAGCATCTAGGATAGACAGATAAAGAAAACGATAAGACCGTCAGTTCATTTATGCTTTATTAAAAAACTTTTCTATACAACACACGATGCGTGCTGATAGCATATCTAAATTTGATATTGTTTGGACTAGCTGCCTTTTCATGACTGCCAGTATTGGTTGTTTTGGCTTTGGAATCGGATTGAAATTTCATACTGATAAATGAAATAATGCTCATGTACATGTCAACAGAGTCGTAGCTCGTGTTAGTATTGGTAAATGTTTAATCAATAATTGCTCACAACAATGATTAAATTAATATCATTTTTAATTGTCTTCAGTTGACAAAGACAGACACAAGGACATTTCCATTGATGAGAAAATCGCTTTTAAGTCCCGCCCCCTGTCAATCATCGGAGAAGAAGAAGAGGAGGAGGCTGAGAAACATGACAAAGAATCAACCAAGGAGGAGGAACTCAGAAAACAGCTTGGGAAGAAACCAGTGGCGGCACCACAGTTTGTCGAAAAACCAAATGACATTACTGTCAATGAAGGGGAGACCATCACAATCACCTGCAAGATCTCCGGTACGTCAATTTTTAATTATTTTTTTCTCTATTGCCTTTATTAAATGATATCCCAAACCCATTTTCTATGTCAATACTGGTGCCATAGGCGAATCTAGGAGCATAACTTTCTTGATGTTTCATGCTTGCATATACGTAAGGCCGTAGCGAGACGATACTATTTTCTATTCTTGTGACTGCACGACTGTGTACCCCCTACATTTCTGAAACCCTGTAACCAATAATTTGTACCTGCAAAAATACCATGCACAAAGACGAGTATTTTTGACAATCGGTTATTTATTCAAATGTTATTAAATTAGTACAAATATTTATGTCAGCGACAATCAAATTATTGGCCGATGAACGAGTTAAGGTTGACGTTAGCAGTGCAATTCTCATTGAATACATTATACGGTTGGTTAGAGAAAGGCAGCGTGAACTTATGGCAGCATAAGGTAAGAGCATCTGGGAACACGTGGGTGGAACTATGGACAGAGCCACAGGCAGTTGCTGTCTTATAGAAAGCCACGATACGACGCCCAGGGGAAGGCAACTTTGCTCCTGCGTTCTCGCACATGACTTGGCCCAATGGCTTCATAGCGCCTCCCGAGAGCACCTTGGAGGATAGAGACATGGATGCAAGTTTTAACTTTGCCAGGCGCTCACAGTCCTTTGGGCATCTTTGCAGCACGTTGGAGCACTCAGGGGTGACGCCAGTGTTAACGTTGTTACAGGGGAATAGCTGACGCCGCTTCTTGGATTTGAAGAAAGTTGGATAGACGTCGGTGATTTTCTGGTTTCGGATGCCGTCATCAATCCACAGGTCATCTCGGCTCTGCCCGTAGACGAGATCTGGAAGTTGAAGAAGCAAGGGTCCCGTTGTGGTTGATGCTTTCTCTTCGGCATGGAGACTGCACTGACATCTGTAAGGAGCAGACGTACAAGAAATTGATAACTCGAAAAAAATAAGTTCTACACGCCAAATTGTATATTAAAAGCACAGGATATGAAGCGGATATTGTATCCAAATAAAGTGATAATTTTTGTGTTCCAAGCTTTCAAAAAATCTTATTAACACCACTCGCAAAATTAAAAAAAAAAACGAAATCCGAGATCATGTGTGGAGCATGATAACGGCAAGATATGATAATGTATTTTGACGTGGATCACCGGTAATGAACAAATGATCCGAGAAACGCGTTTGATTTCAATATTTTAAATGAATGGACAGGGTGAAGTTGGCTTGGGCATGAAGAAAACGTGTCGAAAGCGCGATTAAAGTCCGTTTTATTTAGTGTTAATAATTCGCCTCTTTATGAATAAAATAAGCGTGATTATAACGTACCGTTCTGTCGCCTGTCCGTTTATAAGGCCTGTAAAAAAACATAGAAAAGGATTACATATTTTAAAAAAACTCGTTTTTCCTCTCGATTGGAAATGAAATGTTGGAATATGAAATATTTTCCAAGTATTTTCAACAATTTTCCACTACGTACCGACAATCGCATCTTTGAAGTACAAACTCGGAAATGCTATACATACTTTCTTTTCTGAAAAACTAAACCAGATACACCTCACGTCATTTAAGAACAAACATGGCATAAAAATTAATCTTCTAGTTAACAGGCCGATTTGATAACTAATGTAGCTATTCTTATTAGCTTTTACATCGTTTGAAAAACATTAACGAGACATATTAGACATCAGCACATAATATTGAGAGATCTAATATTAGATATGAAGACAACGCACTATACTAATGCACCCATTTAAATAAACCAAAACTGTTTGAAATAAGTGGGATTGGGGATAACACCTGTACATTAGAGGGGATGAAAATGAAACAAAGTCATGTTGTTTTAGCGGTTACAAGTTATCATTTTCCTTCGTAGGCCTATTTTAAAATATCTACAACCTAGAAATATGTGTTTGCCAATCAAATTGATATCACGGAACAAATGTGGCTAGATCAGCGTTGTTTTCATATTCTTTTTGAAGTGGAATTACATTAGGATTGCATATATGTTGGTCTTAGCATAAAATTATTATATTTTATTACCCCCATAGCATTCCATCGGTTTCACCATTAAGGATGCTATCTCTTCTTCACCATCCACGTCTCTGACTGACACTTGTTTCACTGGTAGATAGCGCTTATCGTCCAGGTACCCCTCGTCGCTTCGCCATTCATAATCATTTATGTTGCAGTTACAATCCCTTCTAAATTATATAAAAAAAAAAAACAGCATAATGTCCTTAATGAAATATCTATTTTTCTACAGACTCATATTGTTTTCCATACATAATACCCTCGCCTACATTTCCGTCTAAAATATGCAAACAAACAGCAAAAAAATACAGCACAATGTTCTCAATCAAACATCAATTTTCTACTGATTTACGTTGCTCTTCGTGCATTGTTGTTGGCCATGAGACCACGGCAACATATACCCCAAAAGGGTTGATTTGTGAGACAAGCAAAACTTCAGCGCAGATAGAAAAAAAATATATATATATATAAAGGACACGGGCCTGTACCCAGGGGAGAGTTCGGGGGCTTTGAACGAATTGTCATTTTTGCCGGGAAAAGGTCTGCTCAGAAATTGATCTTTATATACGAAGGTTTCACGGTAAAAATTACACTTTTTAAGTAAAGAACCTCCCTTTGAAACTGCTGATTACGGACCTGGAACAATACCCAAAACACTAGAGCTATTTTCCAATAAAACTATCGTACTACGTAGAGCGATCCAACTCCGTATGGACTCTCTCGCTGACTGCAATCAAATGAACAGATTAACACACACTTCCTCTTGTTTCCAACGTTCGTGTATAATCACTTGCTTTTATGTACACTGCTCAAAGCCATTCGCTGGGAATGGGTCCCAAGAAATAGGAAGTAATTGAGAGAGAGAAAATAAGTGAGTAAGTCAGTTTTTTTCTATTATATGATTAAAAGAAAACGTTTCTAACCCTGATTTATCACACCGGCCTTGCACGCCGCATGCGCACTGGGAGCTGTTGGTCGGAGCCCCACCCCAGTTGGTCATATTCCATCCTTGCCGAGACACCCACCAATGGTCTGAGCCCGAGTGGAAATTATACGCATGATGACAGTGAAGCTGCACGAATTGTCGACATTTACTGGAGACCTTAATGAGACTTTCAATTTGCGCCAATGTTGGCTTGTATGTAAATGTAATATCATGTGTATGACGACCTTCGTCATAAAAATTTATAGGTCGTGGCGTTTTGCCCCCTTGGTGTGTTATGAGAGTGACGCCCTGGCCCGATAAGTCACCTCTGGTCGTACAAGTGACTTGGAACGGGTCCTCTCCCCCGGGGCCGTCAGGGTCGATGGTATAGACACCTTCCTTAAACTTGTCGCCAGAAAAATGACTTTGCACCTCCCCACACGTTCTGGGAACTACAAGAAATACAAATTGCAAAAGACGACTTATTTGAGCGATCCATGATCAATTTTTGTAAGTATCTTAACACAGATGTACATTTAAGAAAATTGAAAATAAAAAAGAAGACTAAAAGAAATACAAATTGCAAAGACGACTTTCAACGGTCCATGGTAGATATTTTGTAAGTATCTAAGTACAGACGTACATTAAAAAACGAAAACAAGAAGGAAATTACATCTTTATTTCACGTTTAAAACTTTGACGGGCACGACTTCGAGTCTTTTCATGGTCAAAATAAATATGTATTGTACATTATTATATACATTTTACTTATTTGCAAGCTGTAGCGTAAATTTTAGAGCTAAAAGGGCCAGTTTCGTCTTATTTTGCGTCCGAGTTCCGAAACCCGAGATGAATTCGCCCATTCAAAGAATAAGTAGAAATCACAATCTAATTTTTACCTACCTGCGCTGGGAACTACAGAGACAGCCGGGACAGGAACTCTCTGTAACTGTACATCTTTCACCGCGAGCAGAAAGAAAACCACGAGTGAAAACTTGAAACTCGCCATAAGGATACTTCTGCCTTAATAGGGTCTTAAATGACAGTGGTGAATAATTCGGCCGGGTTCCAAATATTATATGATAATATTCGCCCACACTGAGAAAGACGCCATGTGCAGGCATGCATCAAAGTTTAAGGGCAAGAGTTGAATTGGTCTTGATACTTAAATAGAGGTCTAGATGACACGGAAAGTAACAACCTTATTTTTAACCCTGAAGAGCTCCAGACATTATTAACTTGCTAGGGAGCACATTTTCAGTGTTTTTAATCTTTTAACTACACATGTAATAGGCCTATATTAACTTTACATATATACTCCTATAGGTCTATATACATAAACACACATGCACCTCCAGTCAGTTAGATTACCCCCCCCTTTTTTTTACGAGATGTGAGCGGCTCACAGTAGTAGTAGGGGGGCCTATACTAGTAAGTGCCATCAGACGGGAAGATGCTCCACAACTCTGGACATGCCGTTCTTTCTATAGGCCTACCCCTCGTAGTAATACTGCATGTCCCAATGAGTAAAGTGGTCTGCACCGACCTAAAGCAGTCGTCATTTCCCTAGCCTATTTCAGGAAAATAATAGCCAACACCAGTTCTATAAAATGTTTTTAAAGGAGGTTATAAAATATTTTGTTTATAGAAAGACGTCTTATTTTTCTTAATTTTCTTGTTTTATTTACTTTGTATATTTCTGTCCAGGTGTGCCGAAGCCCGAGGTGATGTGGTTTAAGGGCGGAGATCCATTGTTCGCTGACGGAGAGAGAATTGAAATTGTTCAGATGGAAGACGAGTACACCCTTACCATTAAAGAAGCCAAACCTTCAGATGGCGGTGCTTTCACTGTAACAGCGAGCAGTACAGAGGGCTCAGTGTATTACAATGTCAGCGTTAGTGTCATTGCTGTGAAGCGAGAGAAATCTCCCACACCAGAAAGGTAAACTAAGCTGCAATTATGACACCGCAGTTCGAGAATAAACTGTTTATGACCCACTTCTTACACGCGGAAAGATTTTTAGATATTGTTTTAATTAAGGTTACTAAGACACCCATTTTTACCTCTTCATAGATATTTCGTCTATAACTGTGGTTAAGCAAGGAGTTATAACTCCTTGGGTTAAGCAAGGATGTATATTCAATATACGTCCTTCGGTTAAGTAAAATTGCCCGCGGTGATTAACTTTGTGTCACGTGACCACCTCGTGACTTTGTTCACTTCCGCCTTCTGGTGTACCAGTAAGTACTAGCTTGGGCATAATAACAAATTATTATGTCGTTATTATGTCCAAGGTACATGTACTAGTAATCAGGAAAGTTTACCACGTATGTATTGTGAGTTAATAAAGCGATCGAATCTTTAGGGTGGCCTTGCTTCTCCATCTTGCGGTACATAATAGGAAATCCCCCATAGAAGGAGTGAAAAAGACAGAAGAAACAAAGCCACTATCATATAATAAACAACCAGATGTACTTAGTTTGCTTTCAAAATATGAGCCTTTGAGTCCTAAATCGTGTGGTATTATTACAGGGAGATACTGGAAGTTGCCCCAGAATTTATCAAGCAGCCACTCTCACAGAAGATAATTGAAGCTGAGAAAGTCAGATTTTCTTGTCTGGTACAAGGTAAGGAAAGAATCACAAATCAGTTAATGGAAATTCATTGGATTAATTGTTGAAATGGATTTGTAGCAGATCAAAGTTTTTTCTTAAAATATTTTGCAAAACACTTATATATCACAGCAAGATAAATGCCAAATAGGTAAGTCATTAAACTACTTATTTATTATTTTTGCTTTTACTAGACCTATTTTGATAAGTGGATAACCATGAAAATATTGGATATATGATTACACATATATTAAAATAATTTATGTCAAATGCAGGTAAACCAGAGCCAACAGTCACCTGGTTCAAAGATGGAAAACTTCTCAAATCTGACTCCCACCGTAAGATCTACAAGGCAGAGGGCCTCCATTTTCTGGAGCTCCCAAAAGCCTCCATTGAAGATGGAGGAGAGTATACCTGTACGGCTAATAACTCTGCAGGAGCAGTCTACTGCAATTTTGCTCTCACAGTGGAAAGTAAGTCTATGATTTTGGTAGAAATGTTTCTCAAATAACCATAAGGCCTTTGAACCAGACCACTATCCAATCTTCCCTCAAAGACTAGTTTAACAAAAGATGCAACAAAAAATTCAGTCTATTTTTACCATGGATAAAATGGTGTTGGTCTACTAAAATGTAAAATTGTCTGTCTTTTAGAGACCAGTAGTTACTGTATTTGAGGGTTAAGTTTTTGAAAATATGATTCTCCTTTGGTAAGAAATCACTTATTTGGCTATCAGATTTTTTTTCATGTGATTGTAAGTCAGACTTGGATAAGCACAAGAGAATAACCACTGGTGGGCAAAGGCTTTGTGGGTAGCAGAATTCTTTCTTTTTATATCAGATTTTTTAGGAAAAAAGGGAAAGAAAAGTGCTGCTGTTCTGAGTTGATTATGTTTTGAAATAAGGGAATTTATGACATAACAATTTTATTAAATGCCTTTGATCTTTCTATTTAGCAGCTTTTAAAAATGTTCTTTGGCATTGCTCTATATTTCCTTTCATTCTATCTTTTGAAGTATTCCTCTTGTGTCATAAAGTTTCCATTTCATTATTGAACAACCGTGGGGAAAATAAAATTGGTTGGTTTGATTTGGTCAATTTAAAATTTTTAGTTGTGTTGATTATGTTAGATCTTATGAATTTGATGTGACATTTAGTATTTCTCTAATAACTTTAACTCCAGCGGTGTCTGAACATGAAAGCAGTGCTGACCTTGACGAACAAGAAGCTTTGAGAAAGAAGAAGAAAGCTGCAGATGTAAGGAAAAGTACTAGTGCAAATAATTTTTTATGCCACATGTCATTTAAGTTTTTTCATGATCACCTTTATCTGATATTCTGTGTATTCATGTTGTAACCCTTAGGGTGCCTCCCAGAGATTTAGATTGATCTAAAGATTAAGATTTAGATCGACCTAACTCCCTGGGGGTTCACGCTAAATTGCAGTCAGCCGAGCGGGCACCATAGTTAATTACCCCCTTACAGCTTTTAGTAGGCGGGACAGACGCCTAAGCCGGCCAAGCTGACAGTAATCTAGTGAGACTCCCCACAGGGATAGATCGATCTAAAAATCTATGGAAATGGGGTGTTAGATGTGGGATCACCAAGTGTATCTTCCTGCTGTCAGCAGGTGCAGCTATGCTGTAACTCAGAAAAAAATGACATATTTATACCACTTGATTTGAAATATTCACTTGGTTACATTTCCAACTGAATTATTTGATTCACTGCCTGGATAATTTATTTTGATTGTATGGTTGTTTATAATGTTTTTTTTCCAAAGTGACAATCTAATTATCTTTTTATTTTGGTATCAATACCCAGGCTGTCCAGTTCAAGGAATACGCCTTGATTAAGAACTACACCGACCAGGCCAAAAAGATTGCCTTCAGGGAGGGAGAGATAGTCCAGGTCTTGGATGCCTTAAATCCAGATTCATGGCTGGTCAGGAAGAAGAAAGCCAAAGAACAGGTGAGCTTCAAGTAAAAGTGGAGGGAAAGATATACATAAAATTTTGCCTATTTCTGGACCTGCAATATGTCTATCAATAGATGTACTATGGCTATGATGATGTTGACTTTTTATTACCTTTTTTCTTGGAAGAGGTCTAGCTGTCTTCACAAATAGTTTTCTTGGTTCACCTGAGTGATGTTTTAAATTTGTTTTAGTAGTTACAATTTCTGTTTTGATAATCATGTAAGATGTATTTTTCAAGGTAAAATGAATAAGGGTACCCTTTTTTGATTTAAAGAACGCTTGAGTAAAATAGGTTCAGGTGTTAAAACAAACCAAATGTGGTTTTTCTCTCATCTTCTAGGTGGCCTACATACCCTCAGAGTTCTTGAAGAAGAAGGATGGTGTCCCAGATGACAAACAGGCATGGAAAGATGCTCTAGAAGGTAGGGGACTTAAATTGATATGTATGCAAACTTGGGATATGAAAATTGACTATGGCCTATTAATTGGCTTCTGGCATGGAAAACAGGAATTAGTCATGCTGGATGTTTCAGTATTATTTACTTGATTTTGTAAAATTGAAAAAATCATTGTTTCCTACAATTGTGGCCATGAAAATCTTACAACATCTGCTTTAAGTAGTAGCCCTGACATAAAGTCCTCCTGATATTTTAATGTCAAAATAATAGAAGTGAATCATTAATTTTTTAAAGAATTCAGCAAAGAAGATTCAGGTATTATCTTTTTATGATAGAATAGCATAAACAATATTACACTTAAGGACCTTTCTGCATTTAAGTGCATCTATACATGATATAAAATCCAAGTATATCTTTGTGTTGGTAGCCTTTTGCTAGCCACCTTATGCATGGGGGTAGCCATATACACCATTTATCTTGAGAGAAAATACAAGCTGATGACCTTTAAGAGAGAGTTTTATCTATGTGTGTACTATGGCAATGATGATGGCTGGTGTTATGATGTGTGGTCTTTGGGTAATGTATGTAAACAAACTAGAAGAGATAGTGTAAACGTATCTCTTGACCATGACTGATGTTGCTTAATGATTACGATATTACAGATTTGTTTTTGCTCTGCAGTAAATTTTCTGAGAATCTTTGCAACAACTGCAAATATGCTCAGGTGTATCGAGTAATAGTTTCATTTAGATTTTTTTTCAGAAATAGACAAACAAGATATGAGTTACAGAAACTGTTCTTTTTTGTCTGTTTCTGCAAAATCTGCAAGATATAAAGTGTTTGTTTTCTGATTACATTTGGCAAGAACTAAAGGCTGGAAGTTTGCCAAGGATATATTCTTTGTAGAGCATTGCCACTAGTACTTAAAGCATGATTTTAGAAACAACACAGCAGAAATATACTGGTATGATGGATAGATAATGTTGTGCAAGGGATGAAAGATGTTTATACATGTAACCCACATGCACGGATATAACTCCTTGAATCTCTGTGATGTCAGATCTGTATACATAACTGAGAGGTTCCCTAGAAATTCAGGTAAACATAAGTTAGGAGGTTAGAAGACCCAGAGTCTAGAGGTTCTAAAGTAGGAGTGATGTATGTGCCTATTTTACCCCCTCTTTGCATTGTTTGCATTCCAAGTTGTTTATTCAACGCCTCTGAGTTACATTAGTTTACCTGGGCCTACCTAAGAAAACTGGAGTGGTTCAGTCAGATTTATGACTGGTGAAAGGTGTGCCCATGTATACATATTGCTAAAATCATTTGGAACTTGTTATTTATTCTGTGTACCTGATTCATCAAATGGTGTCCATTAAGTAGTTGCAGTGTTAGCCATTTTATGCTCAAAAATAACAAAACATAAACAGGTTATAAAAACAAAAAAAAAACTGTTTTATAGAACCAGTGCTGCTCTCAAGGTAATAATTTTAATAAGAAATAGACCTTATTTAAATTTTTCATTAGTAATGAGATTTGTTTGTTATTCATTTATTTAGATTTTGAGTATATACTTAGCAAAGATGGAAATATTTACCGTAAATTTTTAGGTCTTTAAGTAAAAATAAGAAATAATAATGAATGACTTATAAGTCATTTTGATAATATTTACTACTAACGTTAATGAACAAAACAAAATTATTTTTCAACAAGCGTTTTAAGCAAAAATAATCAAAGTATACCTGGAATCTTTGATGTTATAAAAAACAGATTTTCAGCCAACTGTTTTAATCCACTTCATCAAATGGATAAAACATGTGGATGGTGAAATGCAGATGTTGAAATCTTGCAAAATGTTTTAAGTTTATTTACAAGGAAGTGTTAATTAGAGAAAGACACAGATCTTACATAACTAGCTATAGTGTCTGGGATGAAGAAACTTGTAAGAAAGGCGTTTTCTGAAAATTTATGCATTTTCAGTGCATTTGAAGCTAAATGAATATGGTGATAAAAAAGTCACACTCTTATTAAATGCCTATGTATATATATATATAGTGCCCATTGCTCATGTTATGGAAACTAAATAATGTGGATGGTTAAGTTTTGTAGAAAAAGATAAATCTATTAAGGAATTGGTAAATGTTATTTACAATTTCAAACTGATAAATAAGATAATATTTCAAGTAAATTCTTATGAAGCATGGAATTGCTATTGAATTTTCCTCATCACTCACTTCCTAGAATGCACCAACAGGCATAAACTGGTTCTTACCAGATGATTAACTAACTCCTCAACCACATGATTTAATGTTAAAAGTATTAGCTAGACACAGGATGTTGAATACTTTAGACTGCAGTCTGCCCTAATATGGGTGCTGTGATATTTTGGTGGAGTGGCGTAGGCTGAGTGATGCTCCTTTTGAACAGCATTAACTGAGCCATTTTGTTGCTTGGCGGTGTAATCCCACTGAGCTAGAGGTGTCTCAAAGGGCAATGTACCCTCCTTTACAGGCTCTAGAATAATATTATTTCTGTGATATGTATTGCATATTTGTAGTAAATTGGTGCTTTGGTAATGAGATTGGCTTTTTGATTAAATGTAGCAACAGTTTTCAAACAAGTTATCTTAAAAAAAAAGAGCAAAAAAAAAAAATCATAATCAGACATACATGTAACACATCAATAAAAGGCACAAACAGGAAATGTCATTTGCCATATAATAAAATATAATAGATACAAAAGTAATTGAAATGAATTAGGTGTGGATGATAAGAATTTTAAAAAAGCAGTTTCTTACTACAAAAAGTTGAGTAGATAAGAAAAAAACATCTGTCAGAGATAGAATGATTCACCTTGTCCTTGAAAATGTATGTGGAAGCTTTTTCAAGGCACCTAGAACTGGGTTCACCTTGCTTAGCCCAGGCAATATTAGCACAGTAATTGCATTCTTAGTCAGGTTGAGTAAAATTTGTTCTGATTTCTGAGAGTGCTGTCATGATGGGGGTGTATGTTCTGGACAATAATATGTGACAGCTGACCTAATAGTTTGGGGGGTGGGGCTGTCAGCTAGGATTTTTCTTGGGGGGGGGGGTTAAAGATAAAAGAAGATGCCGATTTTTATAACCTGACAGAAAAAAATACAATAGAATTTTAAAAAAATGTTAACTGTTAATGATCATTAACAAAAGTCTGGTAAAAAATAAAATAAAACCCAAAGAGAATGAAGTCATTGTATGTGTTCTACATCAGGAACTACTCATATTTTGATTCACATAATTGAATTTATTAAAGAGAATGGTTCTTGTAAACTAAGATGCGGGTTAAGTAAGTAGAGAAAGATAACCAGAGAAATGTCCATGGTTAAGAAGATACCCTCATGGTCAGTCAGAGGGCAGTTAGGGGAATGGATAAAATTCAAAGATAAGGAAAGTTAGGTAGAATTTCTTCCATCTCATTGTTTTTTCATTTCCACTGAGAATAGAGCACTGATTTTTCTTCAAATAAATTTGTATATTATTTCATGTAAATTTTCTGTTTAACTTGGATGTCATGTGTTGCCAGATGTTTAATGCCAGGCTCTTGTTACGATAAATTCTTTAAAAAATGAGTAAATAAAATACTGGTAACTTTGTATGAATTTTTCTCTAGAAATCTCTGAGGTGAAGGATCGGGACCGAGCCAAAGGCAAACAAGCCACCCCAGAACTGATAGAAACTTCCTCTGATGATGAAAAAGTAGCTGAAGGAGAGGTGAGAAGTACATCTGGTGAATCTTCTTCAGCCCATGGCCACCAACATTGAAAATTAAATGCTTTTTGAAGAAAATGTTGTTTTTTTTTTATAATTAAGATGTTGTCCAAAGATAGTGTTTTTTTTTTACTTTCTATAAAATATGTAATTTTTAATAATACTTTCGCATAAATAAAGGATATTTAATTTATGTTGATTATTGGTGCAGGTTTCTGCCAAGAGTGTGACAAAATGAAATAAGAATTAAACTGGTTGAAGAAACATGCAAATAAAACTCACATAGATTATTATTATTATCACAATGACCTTTCTGTGTGTTTTAATGTAATTCCATCCATTTATTTGCAGAAATACCCCATCTATGTAGCAGTGGCTGACTACATCCCACCTAAAAAGCAGAGGGACAAGGTCCAGCTGACCGAGGGTCAGTTTGTGGAAGTCCTGGACAAAAAGAACCCAGAATGGTGGCTTGTCAGGACCAAACCCACCAAGTTACACCCGGCCAAGCAAGGCTGGGTACCGGCCAGTCGCCTGGAGAAGAGGGACGGGGCTGGGCTGGTAGACAGGAGAAACACAAGAGAGGTGTTCAGGGAAGACATCATACAGATCACCAACAAGGGCCAGGAGGCTAATGTGAAGAGGAGGTGCTTTATTTTGATAGATCTTTTTTGGTTTTATTTTTTGATCAGTTTTTGTTTATGTCACTTTCTTTGAATAATTTTAATTTGGCACAAACAATAAAGATGGACTTAATGCCCTGCATAATTAGGTTGTTTTCTTGTTTTGATGAGAAAGTATGTTTGGCTGCTTGTCATATCTAATACAAACATCAATTAAAGCCTTTTATGATATTTTGAAACTCCATGTTACTACTATAAGAAGAAGTTTTCTCATTTGATTTGTCACAGTGTTACACATCACTTTCCTATTTATTTTAGGTATGCTCTGAAGGAACTGCTGGAATCTGAACATGACTACCTGAACAACTTGCACAACATGGTCGATACTTGTATCCCTCCACTAGAGGGAGCAGATGTACCAGAGCCCATTAAAGGCAAGAAAGACCTCATCTTTGCCAACTTGGAAGACATAATGCAGTTCCACCAGGAGTAAGTTGAACATCTCTTTTTATCGTTCAAAAGGTTATTACATTTGACCATATTTTGAAGTCAGAATAAGAAAAATAACAGTCACAAATTTTCTGACAAATCTCTTGTAATCTGGTTGGGAATTTCATGGAAAAAATTAGTACAATTTGTTGTTGGCTTTTATGAAATAAATAGTCTTAATTAACTTATTGGCAAGACTGATCAATCTTATCGTATCCTGTAAAATTTGTCTTCATAAAAAATGATTGTAAGGTACCTAAGCAAATTCCGTAACAGTTTCTGTAAAATAAAACTGTGAGATTCTTTTTAGTGCTCGACTTACAGTAATTTAAAATTTCTTTTGTTGATATTTCATCTTTTTTCAATATTACAGCACTTTCCTGCCCCAGATTATGGCCTGTACCAGTGAGCCGGAGGCCCTGGCAGACTTGTTCCTCAGTCAGAAAGCTAAACTGGAGGAGTACATCCCATACCTGAAGAACAGAAAAGCTGCTCTGAAAGTCCTCAATACTGAACCAGCCAGAAAGTTTACCAAAGTAAGCTACATTTCATGAAATTAAGTGATTGCCCTGACAATGTTCAGCAGTTCGATATAACTTTGTGAGCTAATTATTTGATTCAATACAATATTTTAAATGGTACTTATGTATCCTTTTCTTGCATTATAAGGCTGCACTCTCACAGATATATGCAAATATGAAAGTGTTAATTTTTTTTCAGAAAATGAAAGAGAAGAAGGCTGGTGAGGAACAGACCCTCCCAGAACTACTTAAGAAACCCAAACAGCGCCTACAGCAGTATCAGTCTGTTGTTAAGGTGAGCTTACACAATACAGCCATCCCAGAATGTCAACCCCAAATTACAACCTGAAATTTTTGAAAAAACCTATTTCAAGCATGAATTCTATACACAGACACAGCATCTCAAAAATTAGGAACATGACTTAAATATTTCCATACCTATGGTTTCATATTAACATTTTGATATCTTTTCCTATAAGGATTTCATACGCTACACCGCACGTGCAGGAGCAGACTGCTCCAAGCTGGAAGAAGCACATGATATGCTGGGTGCCATATTGAAACAAGCAGACGACAAATATCACAGAGATCAGATAGAGGGCTACCCTGGAGATTTGGCTGATCTAGGAAACATGGTCAGACATGTAGGTTATATGTTTTGTTAATTTCTTTGGCATTGTTTAAAATGTTATGTAGAGCTTTTCATACACTAGTGTTAATGATTGTTACATTATAGCTAGAAATGCAGCTTGCCCTAACTTGTTTTTTTCCTGAGCATCTGTACCTTTTGAAATTATGATTTTTACAACATTACATGGTGTTTTACACTACATTGGATTTTTGAAATGTTTTTCTTAGTTGTTTTTCAGATTTTAAAGACGATATCCAAAAATATATGATGAATAACATATATGTACCGGTATACTCAGTTATAATATTTTATTGACTATCCCAAAAATCAGAACATAAAGTATGATTTTGAATTGAAGATGAGAATGGGAGGAAAAAGCTATAAAAATAACTTTGTTATTCTTGCAGGATGACTTCCAAATGTGGGACGCTGAGCCAGAGGGTCATGGTAAGGACAGACACATCTTCCTTTTCCCTGACAAACTGCTGATTACCAAGAAGAAAAAGCCAGCTGTAGAGGGAGAGCTCCCCACTTACATCTACAAGGGAATCATCAATGTAAGTGGTGGTAACTTTTTAATTTGTCTTCTATACGTAACTTAAAATTGATTAGAATTGTTTGGCCTCTCTAGGCATGTTCTTTTCTTTTTATTATTTAACTTACTTCTTTGAATACTTGGTATTTAAAACATCAGACAATGGAATTGTGGTACAAAGGTCAAAAACTGAAAATAGATTTATGTGCCTGTCATAAGTGTGTGTGTGTGTGTGTGTGTGTGTGTGTGTGTGAGAGAGAGAGAGAGAGAGAGAGAGAGAGAGAGAGAGAGAGAGAGAGGTAAAAGCAAAGTCAACTGTCCACTTGCAGCTCCCAGATCTTCAGCTTAATGAGGATGCTCCAGGAGATGACAGGCGATTTGAACTGTGGTATGCTGAGCCCAGTGTGGAGAAAGTCACCTTGCAGCCAAAGAATGTCCACAAAAAACAGGCTTGGCTCAAAGACCTTAGGGAACTGCTCACAAAATTAGGTTGGTGAAGACAATTAGACATCAGCTTGGCATAATGTATTCATGAATTTTATAAAAAAACTACTTCCTGTCTATAAATAAATACATAGATGATGATTGCGACTATGATATATATGGCTTGTAAAAATGCTAACTTGACAATACTCTGAATAATGCGTATTCTGTTGTTAAACCTCTTAACAACAATAAAGTACCACCTATACAGGTAGACAGTGGGTGTCTGTGTTAGACAATGTGTACAACGTGTGTAATTGCAAGTAGTCAGCAACTCTGGACTTACAAGGACTTAGGCTAGTTGCTGATAACAAATGAAAATTGTATACTTACCTATGTTGTTTTTAGAACTGCGAAGAAGAAAAATAATATAGTTCTTCTAAAAAACTGCTCTTTGGCATAAAGAAAAATGATAGACATAAATATTCATCTTAAATGGATTGTAATTTTTACAGGAGTAAAAGAAACTGACATCCCAGATGAGACCCTGGAGCAGCTGAAGACAAAGAAACCCAAGGTCCCTTCAGTCCCCAAGAAGAAGCCAGAGAAAAAGAAAAAGGGAACAGATGTTACTGATGCAGCACCCAAAGATACGGCTGCAACAAGTGCTGAGGGTGAGGAAACTTGATCAAACTGACATTTTTTGATAAAAAGTGAAACTTTCTACACATTTTGTAAAAGTGGAAAAGTATTTTCCATTGAAATTTATCAGATTGTATGGGGTTACTTTTGATAGTATGACAATTGTTCATTAAAAATTTATATTTTGGGATGTCATCAGTAGATTGCCATTGTATTGTTCAGTATTTATAACTGATGATTTGATGATGATTTAACTAATGTTGGATGAATGAAAACAATTTGAATGTATTGTTTGCTCATGGATGTGCTTGATGACACTTTTAACACTTACAGCATAATGATTTCCTTCAGAATTTTGAAATACTTGTTGCATAAAAACACTTTAAATGGACCTTGTGAATGTTCAAAAATTTACTACTCTGCCTCTTTTATCTAAAAAAGCTCAACCTGCTCAGCTGGACTTGCTCAAGTTTTAACAAATCAAATTCCCAGTTTTCCCCCTTATCTGTCATCCTCTTCTAGTATGATGTCTGACATCTTTTTGGCCATTTTGTGTAACTGTTCTGGTGAAATTTTTAAATCTTGGGACAGCTTGTTATGTAAAGAGAAAGTTTCTTGCTTGCATATGAAAAACAAACAAAACCTATTGGAATGCATTTCTTAACTAATTGATAATATTGCATCAAGTGGAAATTAACAGATTATATAACTTGAACACTGAGCTGCACGCCAGGCTCCTACTTCATTTTACCTTGAAGGAGTTTGTTTGAAGTGATAAAGAATTGTCAGAACTTCAGTGATGACTTTATTTGCTTAACTGATAATTTGGTACTTGATTTCATGACTGGCATAAATGTATAAATGGATTGCATTGGAAAGAATAACAGCTAAAGAGGCCACAGTGAATGTAATTCCAGTTTAAATATAAGCAGTTTGCACAGCTTATTTAAGAATACATGTAGATCTACTGTTAGTAGGCATGTCAAAAAGACTTTTGGCAAAATGATAATTCTGTGGTCAAAAAATGATGATACGTTTTTAGTGTTCTTTGACTGTTCATGCCTTCTGAGTGAAAAATAAAGAATTATGTGCATATAATGCCATTCTGTACATGAAAATAATGCCCTGTGGTTCTTTAAAGTGGTGCTTGGTATTCATCAAATTTTCTTGACTAAAAGCATTTTCCTGCTTTGTTTCTATGCATGACTTGCACGTGGCATGCTCTTTTTCCAGAATACTTCACTGCTGCCTCGAATGAAAGTGAATATTTTACAGCCCCTGGATTGCCTCCAGAGGATGAGAGGATGAAACCCAAATTTAAAAAGGCACCATTTGACACCAAGGCAAATGAAGGTGACCAGGTGAAGTTTGAGATCCAGGTCACAGGAAACCCTGAGCCTGAGATTACTTGGTAAGAGGGAAGTGTGATGAAGCTGATATTTTCTCCTATTTGAATGTGTTTTTTTTTTTTTTTTTCAAAATAAATGTACTATTCAAGGTTAAAATCACACTGACAAGACAAATAGTGGTACTTGAAAATAAAAGTAATAACATTGAATAAATAAATGAAAAATAAAAAATATTAGAACAAAAAGAGCAGAACTAAGTTTTGAATTTTTTTACAAGAAAAGTTACTATAATAATTTATTGCTATGATGTGCAGATTATAAGATGAAGAGCAAGAGGTCTGCTAGTCAAGTGACATTGGCTGAGAAGTAGGTATTATAAGCTGAATTAAATTTGTATTTTTTTTTCAGGTTCAAAGGTGCCCAGCAGATAGCAGCTGATGGAACCAAATACACCTTTGTATTTGCTGATGATGAGTTTATGGCTCTGATAGTGAAGGACTTGAAACTCTCTGATGCTGGTCTGTACTACTGCAGAGCTAAGAATTATGTGGGAGAGGCAGAGGTCAAAATTAAGCTGGAGGTCAAAGGTCAGCCATATTTTTCTATTTCTGTATAATAATTTTGATTAAATATTACTTTATATGTATTAATTGTACTGACAGTTTTACCTCCTTTTGATCATATTCCAATAATATTTCTTGTTTATATGAATGTTTGTATTAGCCCAGTACTATAAGTTGTCTTAATATATTTTCAGTTTTCTGGCAAGAAAATTTGTGCTTATTTATTTGTTCTTTATAAACATTAAAATTGAAACCTGTATAAATCCAAGATGTTTGTTACCAGGCCAAAAGAGCAAAGATGCTCGTCCTTCCTTCCCAAGCAAGATGCGTTCCAACATGAACATCACTGAGGGCAACCCTGTGGAACTGAAATGTACAGTTGCTGGGTTCCCAGAGCCAGACGTCATGTGGCAGCTCAATGGAAAGCCATTAAAACCATCAGCAAATATTGAAATGAAGACCGAAGGTGACCAAGCAGTTCTCAGTATCAAGAATGCCACCCCGAATGACTCTGGTGTATATACGTGCAAGATCACCAATAAGCTGGGGCATGCCCAGTGCAGCTCCACTGTGACTGTAAAACCAGATATGTTTAAGAAGAAAGAGGCTGCCAAAGTGGCCCCTACGTTTACTGCAAAATTCAAGGATGTTGAAGTAACCCCAAAACGTGACACCTACCTGGAGTGTAAAATCAAGGGGTCGCCAGCCCCAGAGGTTACATGGTACCATAATAACAAACCTCTGAAGGTAGGTCAGCAGTTTTATTTTGCTCACAATTATATTTATGAATCTGTCAGACTTATAATTTATAGAATTGTTTGAATCCCATTAGAAACAATGCATATGTCTTGTGCACTTATACTATTCAAAAGTGGATAAAGATCTTTAACATAATAGTTTCAACTACTCTTGCAGGATGGACATGCAATGTCATAATGTATTTTAGTTACTTTTATCACTCTCATATAATACATGTGATTATTATTATTATTATTATTATTATTATTATTATTATTAAAGGATTCAAAACACATAAAAATGGAGAAAATTGGTGACATGCATATTCTAAACATCTACAAAGTCACCCCAGAAGATGAAGGGGAGTACACCTGCAAAGCTGTCAACACGGCTGGAGAAGTGTCTCACAACGCCCGGGTCAGTGTGGCCAAACCCAAGGAGCCTACCTTCAGTGGCTATGCCCCACAGTTCTCCAAGAAGGTGTACAACGTGGATGCTGTGGAAGGAGAGAAGGCCAAGTTTGAGTGCAGGGTTATGGGGGATCCTGAACCTGATGTACAGTGGTAATGATGTGACTTTTTAGGCACAATTACAACTGAGTGTGGTTTCACAAATGGACTTAGGACCAAAAGTTGGTCTTGGCTTTTAGACCAAAATTATGTTTAGTCTTCTTTGATTCGAGATAAATCAGGAAAATTCCACTTTTGAATTAATGAAATATTTTATTCAAAGCGATGAGTACTGTTTTTAGATCAATAGTTTAGTGGACATCTCTATATAGATTTATCCTGAACTGGAAAAAAATTGGTCTGAAAGTCCATTTATTTTTTAAACCATTCCCAATTGTCAAGTTGCCAACAGCAAAACTTAATATTTAAAAGTGATGTTAAGAGCATTCACTGACAGAATTCCTATGTCAGTTAGACTATTTCCAGTTCATGTTAGACCTGATATCATCTCTTCCATTTCATCTAAAGGTTCAAAGATGGCCAGCCTCTCCAGCCAGGCCGCAAGTACAAGATGGAGAAAGTGAGAGGCAGTACCACTTTGACCATCAGTGATGTGACCAAGGCTGATGCCGGAGAATACACCTGTACTGCAGCCAACCCTGGAGGGAAAGTCAGCAGTGCTGCCATGTTGGACGTGCAAGGTATTATTGAAATACAGTTTTGTGTACACTTATTTAGTAATTTTGCAATAAATGTTTTGTAGGAGTGGATTTGTGGAAATAATCAAAGTCAACATTTATTGAATACTTTAAACTGATGCACCTGTATTAATTAAAATTTATTGACTTCTTTACAGCTGCTAAACCAAAAGAAAAATCTCCATCTAAAACCTTTGGTAAGGCTGAAGAAAAGTCAGTTCTTTCTAAGCAGCCAGTGGAACCAGTTGTTGAGAAAAAAGGAGGTGAGATTTGATATTGATTGATCTATATTCTTTGAGTGGTCATACAGTTGATTATGAAATGCAATTTATTATGTTTTATTAGGTCTACTAATGAAAAAAATTGTTGGGCTTTATGCAAGAGGTATGCCTTTCTACATAGATAAAAAAGTAATTAGATTCTTCCTGATTACCGTAATTTAGTACTCTCACATTGGTGGATTTTAATGTGTGAATTCTATGTGACATTTCTGTCAAAAGAGACGGCTTCATCTCCATCACCAGAGGAAATATTCATGAAAACTCCAGAACCAACAAAAGAAGCCACACCCATTTTAGAAGAAGTAACAAGCAAAACTGAGATTGAGTCTAAAATGACAGAAGTCATAAACAAAAAGGAAGAGACAACGAAAACAAAATTTGATGATATAATTGAAACTTCAAAAACTGAAGAATTGATGGAAGAATCAATCTGTGAAGAAAAGAAGAGCACAATTATAACTGAAGAGATTATATCATCATCAACAGTCACTGCTGAGGAAAGTACTGTTGAGGAAGCTGAGATAATGAGAGCTGAACATAGCGCAAGGGAGGTTATGCTTGAAATGTCGTCTGCTAATGAGGACCTCTTCAGTGAAGGAGGTAACAAAATCACCACACCTCAGTCTCCATCCACTGGATCACCGTTTTATCATGATTGTTTGCACATTTTGTCTACTTATTATTCACTATTTCTGTTTTATTTCAGCCTACCAATAAATGTAAGGAAAGATTTTAAGAGCAGTTTGCCTGTTTCTCAACGTCTAGTAAAATTGATATCCCTTGTTTGGCACTAACATGTTTTTGCATTGTGCCAGGAATAAAAATGCAAAATTTGATTGACTTTGAGAAATAGGTGCTCTTAATCTTTCCAACCTTTCCAGGAAACTCCTGCAAGTACCTTAACAGATAAAATTTCTGAATTTTTATTTTATGTTTCTTTTCTGTATTATCACAATTTTCTCCTCTTTCTTTTCATCAGTTCCACCTAGGCCAGTCTCAGACAAACCCACTATCTCAAAGTACACTGGGGATTCCCTTACTCTCACATGGCCTACCACCACACTTCCTCTAAATGCAATCCCCACACCCATCACCTACTCCATAGAGTCTAGGGAACCACCCATACCCTCTTGGACAAAGGTCACTAGTGGCTTGACCACTCCTAAATACACTGTTACCAGACTGAAACCTGAGAAGGATTATGTTTTCCGTGTGCGAGCTGAGAATCAATATGGCCGTTCTAAACCTTCACCTCAGGCTACAACTGCTCTTCAGAAAAGGCCTGGTAATAACTGTCTTAGTTTTTAGTTGTAGTTCTAATTGTACCACCAGCGTTAGCGCTGGCGGTACACATGGTTTCGGTCCCGTCCGGATCGTTCCGCCGGCTCCGCCGGCTCCGTTGGCTCCGCCGGCTCCGCCGGACGGCTACCGTTACCGCTTCTCCTCCTAGACGGTAAGGGCCCCCGTACCCATCTCATGGATTTAGGTCACCTATAATCTCAACTCGTTCCACGTAAAATTTGGGCTTTGTCGGTATTGGGGTCTGGGTGTGGCACTCATTGCAATGCACCCTTGTCTAAAAATGGCAAAATTAAATGCTAATTATCTACCCTACGGAAGGAGTTATGGGAAAAATTTCTATAGACGGCTTTCCAAAAGTCATATGTGTAGATTTCAAATATACCCTTGGATTTGACCTTTGACCTTTACTTCAAGGTCAAATGGGCCAAAATTTTCAAAAAAATGAAATTTTTTACGAAAAA